TGATACCTGAGGACTGGAGAATTGCAAATGTTACTCCCCTACCTAAAAAAGAGTGTAAAAATAAATTAAGCAACTGCAGGCCAATTAATCCAATCTCAGTGGTTACGAAATTTCTACAAATTAATATTCTGGACAAAATGAATAGCCACTTGGCAAATAAAAGGCTTCTTTGCTCTAAGGAAGACAACCATTGTCTATCTAAACACTTTTCATAGCTGAAATTCCCCAGCCCAGGCAACACCGTGCTGAAACACCTCTGTACTCTCTCCAGTGCATTCACATCCTTTATATAGTGTAGCAATCAGAAATGCACACAATATTCCAGCGTGACCTAACTATCATCTTATGCAACTCCATCATAGTCTCAACATCTGTGGAGAGAAAGTAAAGTTAATGTTTTGAGTCCAATGAGTTCTGAAGAAAGGTCACTAGATTCAACACATTAACTTTGCTTTCTCTCCACTGAAGCCGCCAGACCTGCTGATTTTCTCCAGCAATTTTTGTTTTTCTTTCAGATTTCCAGCATCCGTAGTATCCATTATAATCTGCCTGCTCTGATATTCAATATTTCAACTAATAAAGACAAGTATTCTATATGCCTTCTTAACCACTTTATCCACTTGTCCTGCTGCCTTCAATGATCTGTGGACATGCACTCCACAGTCCCTCTGATCCCATTCACTTCCTATAGTTCTACCATTCCCTCCATGCCTTGCTAGTCCTTGTTACACTTTCCAGGATTGAACTCCATTTGCCACTGTTCAGACTACCTGACCTGCCCATCTATATTGTTCTTTGGTCTAAGGCTTTTCTCCTCACTATTTATGTAATCTGTGAAATTACTGATCAAACCTCCTACATTCCTGTGTAGATCATTAATGTAGACTACAAACAGCAAGGGACATAGCACCTAACGCTATGGTACACCACAGGGCACAAGCTTTTATTCACAAAATCAACCTTCGGCCATTACCCTGTGCCTCCTGCCACTAAGCCAGTTTTGGATTCCATGGGCTCTCACCTTCTTGACCAATTTTCCATACAAGACTTTGTCAAATGCCTTACCATAATCCATGTAGACTATATTAACTACACTAGCCTCAACCACTCATACCATCATCTCCTCGAAAAACAATTAAACCTGTCAGATATGATCTTCCTGTGACAAAGCCATACTGACTCTCCTTAATTAATCTTTCCTTTCCAAGTAGAGATTAACCATGTCCCTCAGATTTTTTTCCAGCTGTTACCCTACTGCTGAGGTTAAACTCACTGGCGTATATTTCCCTGATTTATCCCTATCACCCTTGAATAATGGTACCACATGAGCTGTCTTCCAGTCCTCTGATACCTCTTCTATGTCCGGAGACGATTTATTGTCAAGGCCCCTGCAATCTCCTCCTTCTCCTTCCACAGCAGCCTGGGATATATCTCATCTGGTAGAAAGGCTCAGCAAGTCTGGTAGCATCTGTGAAGAAAAAAATCAGAGTTAATGTTTTGGGTCCATGACACTTCCTCCAAAGGGTCTGAGGAAAGTTCACTAGGCCTGAAACGTTAATTGTGATTTTTACTTCACTGATACTGCCAGACCTGCTGAGCTTTTCCAGCAACTTCTGTTTCTGTTCCTGATTTACAGCATCCACAGCTCTTTCCTTTTTTAAATCTCATCTGGGCCTGGGGACCGATCCAATTTTAAGCTTGCTGCAACTGCTAATACTTTCTGGATGAAGTTATAGTCTATGGAATAAAAGACAAATAGCAACAAGGATATGGAATTGACTGAGTGAAGCAAACAGTCATTGTTGATGAATGTTTTTCAGACAAGATAAAAGTTTGTAATGGAGTTCCAGGGGTTAGTGCTGGGACTCTTGCTCTTCCTGGTACATTGTAATGGCCAAGATCTTGGTGTACAGGACACCATTTCAAACTTTGTAGATGATACAATAATGGAAGAATCATAATTTGTGAGAACAGTATTCAAATGGACATTGGTGGAATGATTAAATCCAATTCAGGGAAGTGTCAAGTGTTTCATTTTGAACAAAAGAATGCAGAGGCATAAAATAAAGAATATAAATGTGAGGTGGTTCCTGGGTGTATATGTATATATATTATTGAAACTGGCAGGATAGATCAAGAACAAAGGTCTCAACATCCTAGGCTTTATTAATAGGGAAATAAAGAGTAAAAACAAATAAGTTATGTTAAATTTTAAAGAACAGTGTTTTAACCTCAACTAGGAGATTGAAAAGAGGTGAAGACTTCAGATTAAGTAAGTGATTTAGATAGAGTGCAGAAAAGATTCATGAGCATGTTGCCAGAAATGAGGAACTTCAGTTATGTACATGGATTAGAGAACTTGTGGAGATAGGCTCAGATAAGGATCTCATGAGGCAGTTGCATATTTTTCTGAAAATGAATACATAGAGCCAAGGGGAAAAGATATGAGAATTACATCAGGTAATTGTTTCTGTGGAGAACACACACACGCACGCACACATGCACGCACGCAAATGAGTGGCCTCCTTCTGGTGGCATGGTGGCTCAGTGGTCAGTATTGCTCTCTCACACTGCCAGGGACCGGGTTCAATTCCACCCTTGGGCGATTGTGTGGAGTTTGCACATTCTCTCCGTGTCTGTATGGGTTTCCTCCCACAGTCCAATGATGTGCAGGTTAGGTAGATTGGCCATGCCAAATTGCCCAAAGTGCCAGGGGAGGTGCAGGCTAGATGGATTAACCATGGTAAACGTGGGGTTATGGGGTACGGGGGCACGGGGTTTGGTTCTGCGTGGAATTCTCTTAGAGGATCTGTGTGGACTCGATGGTCTGAGTGGCCTTCTTCCACACTGTAGAGATTCTATGATTCTGTGCTGCAACAATTCTGTGTGTGATTCTGTGTACACACTAATCAAAATAACCTTTCTGTCCTCAGCAAAATCATTGCCCCATCCAATATCAGGTTAGTTAAAGCCTCCCAATAGCACACTGATATTGTACCACTTAGTAATCCTGCAGCAAATCAATTTCTCTACCTGTTTTTCCATTGCTTTTTGGTGTGTCAGACATATTATGCAGCATAAGAATTATTTTTGATTTGTGGTTCCAACTAAACAGGTTTTGTCTTAGCCCATCAAAACATTGTTTCTTTCTAGCATTGAAATAATTTTCCTGAAGCAAAGTTGTTAGCTTCCCCTTTTGACCTGTTCTACCTTTCCTGAATACCTTGTATACAATCATAGAATCCCTACAGTATGGAAGCAGGCCATTCGGCTTATTGATTCCACACTGACCCTCTGAAGAGCATCCCCCACCCTGAGCCCACCATCCTACCCTATCTCTGTAACCTTGAATCTCCCATGGCTAACCCACCAATCCTGCACATCCCTGGACACTATACGAAATTTAGCATGGCCACTCCATCTAATGTGCCCGTCTTGGGCTAGGGGAGGAAACTGAAACACCTAGAGGAAACCCACGCAGACATGGGGAGAATGTGAAAACTCCACACCAACAGTCACCCAAGGCTGGAAACAAACCCAGGACCCTGGTGCTGTGAGGCAGTAGTGCTAAACACTGAGCTACCGTGCATCCAAGAATATTAACATTTCTATCCTCCCTTTTTGTGGGCCATTTGTCAGTTATAGACAGTACATCGTATTTCCATGGGGCAACTTCCACTTCCAGCTAAAAACAAAACCGAAAGAACTGCGGATACTGTAAATCAGGAACAAAAACAAAGTTGCTGGAGAGGCTCAGCAGGTCTGGCAGCATCTGTGAAGGAAGAAAAATAGAGTTAACATTTCGGGTCCAGTGACCATTCCTCAGAACTTCCTCTACTTCCAGCTCACCAACTAGTCTGTGCATTTAAACACACAGGGATGGAAACTGAAGCCTTCCCTTGCAGCGTGTTTGGAGAGGGGCTTTTACTTAAGTCTTAGGGTAGCAAGTGGGAAGTCCTTGCCTGTGATGTTCATGAGGCAATGAGAAATTATCCACAATATGTAAATCTTAAATGTGACCTTGAAAGGTTCCAAATATTGTGATACATTAAATTTGATCAGTGGTGTGAAAATACTTACAAAGTCATAAAGCATACAGCCATCACGCCGAGGCCATATACATTTTAGCTGATGTTATAAAAGCAGTGGATTCCACTCCACTTTTGTCGTTAAAAAAAATTATAAAATGTTCCATGTTGCACTTTTTATTGAAATATTCCAATACTGTTGCTTGAAAGATATGGTTCAGGGTACTCGGCTAGTAAAATTAATGTTTGAAGAGATTAAACGTATAAAATAATATGAAGATTTGTTTGTCTTTAGCATTCTCTGCTCTGTGCTGATGTTGGGGTACAAGAAGTCTTCCTGTGCTTGCCACATATTGAAATCAGACAGCTCAGCTCAGGTTCAAGAACAAATTTGGATGTTTTGGGTCTTTATACTTCAGTACCTTTGTGAGCATAATTTTAATCATCAAGCTATGGAGAAGCAGTGTTGTTAAATTAAATAAAGTAAGTGTTGATGAGCCCTTTTATTTGAATTCTACATTCTGATGGGAAATGCGAACATCTCCACTGTGTTGGTGATCTGATAACTACTCTGGGCATTACGCTGATGTCGTTTACACGCATTAGACACGACTCACGAAACACAAACACAGTATGCTGGAGAAATTCAGCAGGCCTGGCAGCATCTGTGGAGAGAGAAACAGGGTTAAAGTTTTGAGTCCAATATAACTCTTCTTTGGAACCAAAGTTAAATTGCAAAGAGTCAGTTCATTCAGAAAGATAACTCTGCTTTTCTCTCTCCACAGATATTGCCAGGCCTGCTAAGTTTCTTCAATACTTGAGGACTTACATTTTGGATCTAGCATCCACAGTATTCTGCTTTTATTAGACATGAGTTATATCCCTCCATTCAGAGTGTGAGGAATATCTGCTTAATTCTTCTTGTGATTTGTGCAATAACCTATTGACCATTATGTTTACTCTTTTTACTAGCTCTGAAAAAGGGACGTTTCTGGATTACGCCAGATCCATACCATGATGATGACAACATTCAGATTGGCCGTGAAGTTAAAATTTCCTGTCAGGTGGAGGCCATTCCCCCAGATGAGTTGACATTCTCTTGGTTCAAGAATGGACGTCCCCTTCGGAGTTCAGAAAGGATGGTTATCTCAACAACAGATCCTGACGTCTCACCTGGCACGACCAGCCTGGACATTATTGACCTGAGGTTCACTGATTTTGGAACATACACTTGTGTAGCATCTCTAAATAGCCAGGCTGTACCTGACATCAGCATTGACGTAAACATCTCCAGCAGTACTGGTGAGTGTTCAAATCAGGTAGAGATGACCAGTTTATCCTGAATTAGTTGCTGGTCAGTATTTTCTTCCATTTCAGTATCACTACTCAATTCCTCCAGCATTGCCCTTTTGCATTTTAAAGAATGTGATGACATGGACTATCATAGGAAGTGTGTGAGATGATCTGTACAGGGATTTCATGTGGGTCTGAAGTCAATGGGAGAGTTAGATTGTATTGACATGGATCTTACTATTTTTCTATCCAGTTGCTGGGCCACTGGAATACCACAGAATGCGAATGATTTCCTCCTACTGCTGAAAGGCTGGGTGGTCAAGTTGTGTATTACTTTATGCTTGTTGATTTGAAAACAGCAATTGCTACTATCTAGCAATTAACAACAAATGAATTTTTATAGTGCCCGCAGGGTAGTAAAACAATCTGAACTGATTCACAGAAGCATGCACAAATAAACAGGATGACTAAGCCAAAGAAGAGGATGGTGAAATTTCCATCAAGAACATAAGTTTGATGGGCTAAGGACATGAATAGCAAAGGCCTGTTCACAAGTGATTGAAGGGACATGTGGAAGGACAGGTATTGTTGGTCTGCTGCCTAAGTACAGAGAGTTAACAATGAAAGGAATAGTAATGATGGGAAGGAGGTTACTGAGGTTAGTCTCCGGCAAGTGCTAGGATAAAAATTAGTAAGAGAGTGCAATAGGATACATAGAATTGCTGCTTGTTAGTAGCCAATGATTAATGTCTTCACTGGCCTCCAGAGAATGCTCAGGGAGGCACAGAAAGAGCATGGATCTTATTAAAAAGGTTGCTAAGCCTGGGATGGGGCCAAGGGAGTGTGAATGTTAAGATAAAATGTAGGTTTGAGAAAAGAATTTGGGTTTGGGCTAAGGTAAAATATCAGAGAGAGGAAAAATGCAAGGAGGTATGCCTGGTAATATGAAGGGAATGAAACAAGAGAGAAGACTTTTAAAAATGTAAAGGAAAGAGCATTGAAATCATGATCTTGTGAGCAGTTGAATGCCAATGTGCATAGATGAATGGACATTGGGAATCTTAGGTTACAGAATCATGAATGGTAGTTTACACTTACACTTAGAGTTACAGAGTCATAGAGATGTACAACACAAAAACAGACCCTTCGATCCAACTGGTCCATGCCAACCAGATATACGAAATAAATCTAATCCCATTTGCCAGCATTTAGCCCATATTACTCTAAATCCTTCCTTTTCATATCACTGTCCAGATGCCTTTTAAATGTTGTAATTGTACCATTCTCCACCACTTCTTTTGCAACCTCATTCCATACATGCACCGCCCTCTGTGTGAAAAAGTTGCCTCTTAGGTCCCTTTTAAATTCTTCCCTTCTCACCTTAAACCTATGCCCTCTAGTTTCGGACTCCCGCACTTTATAAGGTCATCTCTCAGCCTCCCATGCTCCAGTGAAAATACCCCAGCCTATTCAGCCTCTCCTAATAGTTCGACCCTCCAAACCTGGCAACGTCCTTGTAACTCTTTTTCTGAACCTTTTCGAGGTTCACAACATATTTCCTATAGCAGGGTGACCAGAATTGAATGCAGTATTCCAAAAGTTGCCTAATCAATGACCTGTACAGCCACAACATGACCTTCTAACACCTATACTCAATGCACTGACCAATGAAGGCAAGCATAGCAAATGTTTTCTTCATTATCCTATCCACCTGCGACTCCACTTTCAAGGAACTATGAACCCGCCTGCATTCCAAGGTCTTTTTGTTCAGCAACCCTTCCCAGGAACTTATCGCTACAGGTGGGTCACGTTGTGGACAGTGCGGAGGGCTGTTCTAGGCTACAAAGGGACATTGGTAGAATGCAGAGATGGGCTGAGAAGTGGCAGATGGAGTTTAACCCTGAAAAGTGTGAGGTGATTCATTTTGGAAGGACAAACTTGAAAGCAGAATACAGGGTTAACGGAAAGATTCTTGGCAGTGTGGAGGAGCAGAGGGATCTAGGGGTTCATGTCCACAGTTCCCTGAGAGCTGCCACCCAGGTGGATAGAGTTGTTAAGAAGGCGTATGGTGTGTTAGCTTTCATTAATAGAGGGATTGAGTTCAAGAGCTGTGAAATTATGTTCCAGCTATACAAAAGCCTGGTTCAGCCACATCTGGAGTATTGTGTCCAGTTCTGGTCACCTCATTACAGGAAAGATGTGGAAGTGTTAGAAAAGGTGCAGAGGAGATTTACCAGGATGTTGCCTGGAATGGAGTGAAGGTCTTACGAGGAAACGTTGAGAGAGCTAGGGCTTTTCTCTTTCGAACGACAAAGGATGAGAGGTGACTTGATAGAGGTGTACAAAATGATCAGAGGTATAGATAGAGTAGACAGCCAGAGACTTTTTCCTAGGGTGGAGGTAGCTATTACGAGGGGGCATAGTTTTAAAGTGAAAGGAGGTAGATATCGGGAAGACGTCAGAGGTAGGTTTTTTACTCAGAGAGTGGTAGGGGCGTGGAATGCGTTGCCAGAGAGGGTAGTGGAGTCAGCCTCATTAGGGGCATTTAAGCGGCTATTAGATAGGCATATGGATAATAGTATAAGGTAGCGGTGGAGGTTAGATAGACCTTAGGTTTAGGGTAAAAGTTCGGCACAACATCGTGGGCCGAAGGGCCTATACTGTGCTGTACTGTTCTATGTTCTATGTTCTATGTTCTATAACTCTAATTTGCCTTTCCAAAATACAGCACCTCACATTTATCTAAATTAAACTCCATCGGCCACTCCTTGGCCCATTGGCCCATCTGATCAAGATCCCATTGTGCTCTGAAGTAATCTTCTTCACTGTCCACTACACCTCCAATTTTGGTGTCATCTGCAAACTTACTAACCGTACCTCTTATGTTCACATCCAAATCATTTCCATAAATGACAAAAAGCAGTGGACCCCACCACTGATCCTTGTGGCACACCGCTGGTCACAGGCCTCCAGTCTGAAAAGCAACCATCTACCACCACCCTCTGTTTTCTACTTCTGTATCCAAATAGCTAGATCTCCCTGTATCCCAAGAGATCTATCCTCGTCATCTGGTCTACCAGAGGAACCTTGTTTCAGGCTTACTGAAGTCCATGCTATCCATACTTCTCCACGCTGTTACCTTGTAAATACATGAGCATTGTGAGAGGCCATGGATTTCTTTGTACAGCCATGACCAGCATCCTAGATGACATTGACACAATTTATATCCATGCTGAGATTTGATCATCATATAAAACTGCTGCTAAAATCAAATTCCAAATCATTTATAAATGGGATTTCGTTGTGCCACTTTTTGGAAGTTCACTGGTCACTTTTTCCCAAACACAATATTTTCTTTTTATTAATATCGTGTCATCTGTTGTCAAATCGAGCTTCATTGTGTCATTCAAATCCTAGTAATTTGCTCACTCCTCTAATCCAGGATTACCTCCCAATCCTACTGTGTTGTCTCCTTCAATGTGTTGGCATCATGCTTTGTTCAATAACCCTGTTATAAAGTACTCTAGGATAATTCATTACATTTAAGGCACTATATAAGTGTAAGCTGCTGTTGTCACTGTTCATCTCAGATTGCATCTTAAGGACAACTAGAAATGGGCAATAAATGCTGGCCCAGTCAGTGACATTCCATAAGTGAGTTAAAAAAAAACCCTACAACATCAGGGTGTTGGACAACTGCCTGATGGTCAAATCAAGATACCTCAGGCGACAGCCCATCACAGGATTTATCTACCCCTCAGTGATATCATCTGAATTTTCCTCAAGTACACTGATAACTTCCAGAACTACCCTAACATCAACCACCCCTTCACTGTCTCTAAAATTGTCAGCTTGTTTATTCTCCAAGTAAAATATTGGCAAGACTAATACCAATGTCATAAGTCCCAGTGACAATCTTTCACTACCGATTCCATCCCTTACCCTGACAATGACTTGAGGTTCACCCAGATATTTCATAACTTTGGTGTTATATACCATTCTGTGTTGAGCCCTCAACTAAATATCTGCATTCTCCCTGAGACTATTTCCACTTAACTCCTCACCTGCCTCAGCTCTTTTGCTGCTAAAACATTCAGCTGTGCCTTTGTTACGTCTGGACTTGCCTATTGGATAATTATTGGCTAGTCTCCCACGTTCTGTTCTCTGCTAGTTTGAAGATATCCAAAACTCTGTGTGCCCTCATGCACAACAAACCTTATTCACCCATCGCCCCTGTGCTTGGTGACCTGAACTAGTACCCAATTAAACAGTGGCTCAATTTTAAATTTCTCATCCTTGTTTTAAAATCCATCCTAGACCTTGTCTGTCCCTATCTCTATAAACTCCTCCAGCTCAGAACTCTCCAAGATATCAGTGTAATTATGTCTTCTGAGCATCCTCAATTCTGATTATTACACTATTTGTGGTCATACCACAATCTGTCAAAGCTCTAAAGGTTGGAATTCCTTCCCTGATACTCTGCATTTCCACCTCACTTTCCTCCTTTAAGACACTTCCTATACTCACCATTTTGACTAAGCTTTGATCAAGATTTCACTCATGTAACTTGCTGTCATATTTTGTTTTATACTTCGTCTGTGAAGTACCTTAGGCATTGACATTTTAATTAAATTATTCACAGTACCTGAAGTGTTATTCTCGATTCCATCCACCTCTACTCCAACAGAAAGCATGTTACTTAAAGGCTGAGCAAGGTTGAGTTTCCAATGATAATAGATACAGTGATATCTCAATGATTGTACAATTATACAGTTTTTGATCTTCATTCTGAACATTAGAAATCTGTTCATCTCTACACAGAGAATCTAAAGAATCTGTTTACTGATCTTTTCTCACTCCTTTTCCTTCTTAAATCAAATTTATTGTGAAAAAAAGCACAAAATTATGTGGTAAACAATTCATAGTAAAGTTACATTTAATCCAAAAGAGCTATGTGTGCACAACTGTACTGCGAAGCAAGATGGATACTGATGAGGGTCAATATGACCTCCAGTTACTTTACAAAAATATGGTGAAATAATGGAACCTAGGAGCTATTAATAAGCATTGCAATGCTGTGATTTTCCAAACTATCTAAATGTTTCTAGCGCTCAATTCATGATGTGGCAATGAGATGAAGAACTATTTGGTGAAATTGAGTTGTTTTTATTTCTGTTTACAAGTGCCACCAACTTTATCCGTCCCGAAAGGAAGGTCACCAATGGTTGCACGAGAAGGTGACACGGTGGAGCTACAGTGTTTGGTTTCTGGAAAACCCAAACCCATAATTCTTTGGTCCCGCTTTGATAAGGAAAAAGAAAAGGAGCTCCCAATGCCTGATGGCACCATGCAGATGGAAAGCTATGATGGATTACTACGCATTGTCAATGTGTCGAGGGATATGAATGGAATATATAAATGCCAAACAAGCCAGTATAATGGGTTTAATGTGAAACCAAGGGAAGCAGCCGTGCAGCTTATTGTACAGTGTGAGTAAATCATATTTCTCTTTGCACTATAACTTCCGGGATACTAATAACTTGATGCTTTCCAACTAGAGCAGTATTCTGCAATTGATATGTTACCAGAGATTTTTTCATTTGAGTAATTAGAAATTCAGCTAATTCCTGTTGAGTGTATAGTCAGTCAAATTATCATCCATTTATAGTTCTTCGGTTCTTAACAAACACCGTATAATTCCCTATTGAGCAAAAGTTTTAATCCAGTTGTCAAATTTCCCAGCATTCATATCAGCTTTATGCTCTCAGTCTTACACATCCAACTTCTAAAGATCCAATTTCTTAGCAGCATTTTGATTTAGTATCTTTACAGCCCACTAAAATGAAAGATTTGGAAGGAATTATGTGCCAGTCACTTCTTTTTTTAGACAGTCTGGACAAGCTTAATCTGAGCACAAATAAATTGTCAGGCAAGTTAATGTGTTCAATCCAATTCCACTGGGAGGAAGCATGAAATGACTGCAGATGCTTCAGGTTCCCCTGTGTACATTTAGTATGAATCTGGGCAGGCAAGTGATTTTCAAGGATTCTTCTGCAGTGAAACAGTTGGAAGAGGTTTGATGGACACTGAAAAACAGTTGCAAATCAGAACTTTGGGATTATTGTAAAGAATAATATAACTTTATCAGAGTAGCATGATAATTATGGCCTGGAAGAGCACTTGAGAAATTTTGCGCCAAACCTGCTTGGGATCAATATGTCATTATGTCTCCCAAAACAATGCAAATGGCTGTTTTCTGAGGTTATCACTTGGTACCCAGATGAGCTCATTGAAAATATAGTTTAATGCATAGATTGATAACTGCCTGTCTCTGCACATGGATGGAATTTTAGTATGAAGTTCTATAAATTCAGAAGTAGGTTGAAGGAAGGAGGAGATGCTAGTTTAATAAATATGGATGGTTTTTTAAGTAAGTCCAAAGATGTGCAGAGTCACAGAATTGTTACAGTGCAGCAGGAGGCCATTTGACCCATTGTGTCTGCACTGGCATCTGGCAGTGAATTTACCAATGAAACTCAAATTTCTGCAATATATGCACATATATAGACATGGTTCATAATGGTGACAAGAAAACATGAAATGTTCTAGTTTAGACAAGCAACAAAACCACGAAGTGCATCTTACAAAGGGTTATGATTTTATTTGTGAGTTGTGCAGTCCAACTACTTAAGATATTTTGTCTCGTATTAAATGTATAGTTAGCAGAAAAGGTTTGATAGGATGATTGAGTTTTTTGGAGCTTTGTGTAAGAAATTTATGTTGCTTGTAAATGATATACATAAAAAGTTAACATATTTAGTCAGTGTGGGGTGTGGTTGCTGAGCTCCGGCTGGAGAGGACTCCACTGTGCTCAAGTCGGAGTCTGGGGGCCAGATTTGGAGCAGCTCAGGGGTCCATGATGTCTGTCCCTGATACTGATCATTGTAACAATATTATTAGTTAATGTGAAACCTACATTGAGATATGTAGCTGCTTTGCATTGTTGAAAAAGAGTTGGAAACCTTTCGTTTCTCATCATAAGGTCAATGTCAAGTGGCAACTGAAGTATACCTTGCTTGAAAAAGAATCTTCCATTAATTTCAAACGATTCATCTTTATTGCAAGTCAATCTGTGCTATTTTACATGATTAATGAACATGATGTGCTTCTGTATGGTTTGCTGCAGTAGTTTGTTTTTCTCTTTTCCATATTGTGTATGTTATCATAGATAAATGTAGGCAAATCAAAAGATAAATGTAGAAAATGCCTGGTTGCTTTAAACTGTTTTCAAGCACTTTAAATGAATTGATTTCTGAATGGACTAACTGTTCTGTTTGCAATGAGGACGTTTACTTTGCCGTAATTATATCCTACAAATAGTAATGAGCTAGTCATTTTAATTTTTGATGGTTTTCTTCAGGGAAGAAATGTTAGTCAAGAGGCAGAGAATATTCCCTGCTGTTATGGACTAGACCAGACCCCCTCAAAATATTGTAAGAAGGAATCCTAGACCCTAACTTTTTCTCATTTCAAAGGTAGATGGGAAGTTCTGTGTTCCAGATGCAATGCAACTGGTCAAACAACTTGACGTTAAGCAAAACACAATTTATTTCAACACTACAGTTAAAATACAAACAAAAGAAAGATGAATTTAGAATAACTTAACTATTAGAAAACTAACGGAATCATAGATACAGTACCTATTTCTAATTAACTGTCCCAATATAGTAATGTCCGATAAACACACCCCTTAGCGGAACAGGCAAATTCAAGCGAAATTTCAGAGAAGGTAGTGTCTAGGAATCATTCACTGAAGCCCCTCTGGCACTTCTGAGATTCCAAATAGTTTTTGCTGCCAAAAGTTTAAAAAAATACGAAAGCCACTTCTGAAGAAGGGTCCAGACCTGAAACATCAGCTTTCCTGCTCCTCTGATGCTGCTTGGCCTGCGGTGTTCATCCAGCTCTACACCTTGTTATCACTAGAAAGCCTGGTCTGTGAGAGCTGGCCACAGCCATTCAGGCTGTAAAAACAAACCCAAGGCCTCACATGTTGTTTACCTAGTGGTTCTGGTAGACTGTTCTGTGCCCCTGCCTTTAAAACCTCTCTCCAAAAAATAAGGACAAAATAACCTTTTGAAGTGACAGCATTGTCACACCGCCCCCACTTAAAAAACATCGATACACAAAGATGGTTTCATCTTTAAAACCCTTTGTCTTACTCTATTAGTACACTACAATACATATACATTACATTGACTCTTAAGCATGCAAACATTCACGACTACATTCTATTTCAGTCCGTTTACTCTTGCCAACAAACGCCTCCATCTTTCTTCATCAAAGTTGCGACAACGCTTCGGCAATTATGTTTTCTCGTCTTGCCACATATGTAATTTTCAAATTGAATGGCTGCAATAATAATGTCCGCCTAAACAGTCTGGAATTTTTGTCCCTAAATTTCTCCAAAAACCTTAATGGGTTATGATCAGTCTCTACAATTGTCTCAGACACAATTCTGACAATTTAACATTGAGATATTGTAATGGCAACACCAAGCTCAAGGTTTCCCTCTCAGTTGTGGAATATTTCTGTTGATGATTATTAAATTTTCTGGAAAAATACCCAATAGGTCTTTCTAATTTCTCATCATGTTTTTGTAAGAGCACAGCACTGACACCCACATCACTCACATCGATAGCCACCTTGAATGGCTTTGTGTAATTAAGTGTGGCTAACCTTTGGGCAGTGGTTAACACAGCTTTCAGGCTGTCAAATGCCTTCTGACAGTCTGCCGTCCACTGAAATTTTCTGAACTTCTTCAATAAGTTAGTTAGTAGAACAACCATACTGCTAACATTCAGTACAAACTTCTGATCAAACCCACTCAATCCCAGAAATCATAGTACTGCTCTCTTCATCAATGGTATGGGAAAATCTCCAGTAGCCTTTGTTTTCACATTCCATGGGGCCATCTGTCCATATCCAATAACATGGCCCAGGAACATGACTTGGACTTTTCCAAATTCACTCTTACCCAGGTTGATCACCAAGCCTGCCTCCCGAACTCAATCGAACCATTCCAATAAATGTTGCAAATGTCCCTTCCATGTGTGACTGAAAATCACCAGGCGTCAATGTACACCACTCAATTAGGTAGTCCAGAAATGACTTTATTGGTTAGTCTTTGAAATGTGGCTGGCACATTTTTCATACCAAATGGCATGATTTTAAATTGGTATCGTCCATTCAGTATAATGAAAGCCAAAATTGTCTTTGCTTCTTCAGATAGAAGTACCTGCCAGTATCCTCTTAGTAAGTCCAAATATAAAATACAAATTGCTTCTCAAACCAGTCTTCCAAACGTGTTAAAGGGTATAAATCAGACTTTGTAACTATATTGACTTTGCAATAGTCCACACATAATCATTGGGTACCATCTGGTTTTGCACCATTATTGTGGGTGAGCTCTGGTCACTGCAATTCACTGCAATTATGTTGGTTTCGAGCATGCGCTCAATCTCTTTTTGAACCAGTGCCAACTTCAGAGGGTTAAGTCTGTAAGGAGGTTGCTTAATTGGAACAGCATTTCCTATATGTACATCACGTGTAATTAGATTAGTACTTCCCAGCAAATTCCCACATATCTCCTCATGCGATAGTAATAACTCTTTCAGGTCATTTCAGTTTTCCTCATTTTTTCGTTATTTATCCAAATTTTTGAGAACGTCCAATTTAATTTGAGGAATGTCTAATTCATAATCTGTTCTTCACTCTGTGTTGTAATTAGTAACACATTCTTCTTTTGCTTTCCTTCCCTATCAAACACCATTTGAACATATTCACATGACACACTCTGTGAGATTTCTTTCTGCCTGGCATTCTTATCAACTAATTCATCTGACTCAATCTCCTTTTGATTTGATAAACTTTGCTTTTAAAGGGTCACCTATCACTGGAAGTAGTACTAACACTTTACCTCCACTCGCAAAATTGAAAAATTTTAATTTCTTGTCTGTTTCCTCTTTCATTATATGCTGTGTTACTATTAAATGCTGTCTGGCCAACTCCCCTGCTCTATTTAATCTTTCCCTAAAATTTGACATGTAGTCTAAATAGGTAGTCTCTGAACTCTGACTCACCAATTTCTCCTTAATTAGCTTCAGTGCTCCTCTCACCTCATGCCCAAAACCTAATTCAAATGGACTGAATTTGGTAGATTCATTTGGTGCATCCCTAATTGCAAAAACAAATGGAATTTCGTTATCAAAATTCTCTGGATAATCTTGACTATAAGGTCTCAACATGGTCTTTAAAGTTTGATGCCACTGTTCTAATATTCCCTGCGATTCTGGATGGTGCACAGTGGTTTTGAATTGTTTTATTCCTAATCTATCCATAACTTCCTTGAATAATTTTGATGTAAAATTTGATAGTTGATCTGTTTGTATCTCTTTGGGTAGTCCATATCTGGTGAAAAATATGTGTAACT